ATTGTATCCTGTGTAAAGTTATAATTTTTTAAACACCTTAGTAAATATTTCCAGTTACATTAAGTATTCAAGATATGTGAACAGAAAATATGACTGAAATGTTTTTTTTTGCTCTTGAAATATTATGTTTTACTTTTAATACTCAAGTAAAATAAACTAATCCTGAATTCTTAATTTGAGTTTAATTTTTTTTACTTTGACTATATGATAAAATATTTTTTTTCTCAAAAAGGACACAGCTGTCCTCCAAATATTGAGTAAACCTTATTAGATGTCACTGAATCCCATCAGATTGGTATCTGGGGAGTTTGTAGGCTAGATAAACATTTCAGTGTTTGACAGATTTATTTTTTTATTTTTTTACCTCTTGCTCATCAGTTTTTGCTGGGTTCACYGCAGCAACACTGGGGGGTGCACTGCCACTGCAGCAGAGTGCTGCAGCTACTTGTATATGCTCGTTTCACATATTTATTTAGGTAGGTGGCAAGAAAAAAATGAAGGGAAATACCAGCATGCAGTGATCAGAGTTACTCAACAAGGCACTGGGTTCAAAGTCGCCTGGCAGATAAGAATTCCTCTCGTAATCTCAAGACTTTCTCTTGAGTTATATTTGTGTTCATATACAGTTAAGACATTTCTTTACTGTTTCCAGTTTCTCCAAGCCTTCCTTGGAACAACCCAGCTAGCTCTGCTGGTATTTGCAAACCTGTCAGGTAGGTCAGTTCAGTGTGCCAAATCAGAATGTGCACACCTTGACTTGTTAGTCTTATTTTCTTTCTGAAGGAGCAGCTCCTCTGTTTGTTTTATGAAAAAGGTAGGTACTTTCAAACTACTCGGCCAAGTTTGAGTTGAAACTCTGAGGGTTGCAGTTAATCTGTTAGTTCATCACATTTCATTCTTGTGTTGAGAATGACAGATGACTGAGCTTTATAGTGTCTTTGTCCTCATAAGGTGAGAGTGAATAACTGGTATTCAGAGTTTTTGCAATGTTCTTGAAGTTTAAAAAGACCTCTTTTACCAAAAGTTATTTTTACTGTGTTAGAAATCTAACCCAGTGGTGGGCATCAACAAGTTAGCGTTGCTAACTCATAATCTGATAACTAAACATATAGCTTTGCTAAAATTAAACTACTAAACATGTAAAAGTTATTGGAGGCTAATCATTAACGACTAAGACAACTGTCTCTCAGTCTTCATCACATGTTTTTGTCTCCTTCCAACTGAAGACTTGTGGGACTGTTGATGTTATTTAGCAGACCTAAAAGATAAAACCCAATTCAGCACAAGCTAACTGGTCCGCAAAATGTTTTCTAAGTTAGTGAAAACGCTAATCCACTAAATTTAAAAAAATGAGTTATAACAGCTGAACCATGCCCACCACTGAGCTGAGGTCAATAAAAATGGAGCAACCAGATTCCTACGCTGCAAGGTTTTCAGTGTAGTATGTGAGACTTGATTTCAAGTTAAGACAAATGTCACAAATATTCCTTTGTGCACAGTATAAACTACTGATCATTAACTCTGTTAAAGTGGGATCTTTTCATGAGGTTTTTGACTTCACAGCTGAGCAAAACAACACTGGGTTTTCTTGATACAAACAGCTGCACATTTGTAAAAAAAAAAATTAATTTTTTTCTTTTAAGTTTTTCAATTCTTACAAACTGAATAGAATTTTTGCACATTCTTTTTGCACCATCACCGTTAAGCCAGCAGGCATCACCCACACAGTAAAATTCCTAAGAACTTTTTTTTCCTAGTACATTTCTCTGGAAGTGACACCATGACTGACGAGTCCCTCTGGTTCCAAAAATATAGCACGGCATCTATCATAAACCTGCTGCCTTCAAATCTCAAAATAAATGAACGCAGAAACACTTTGTAAGTATTTACACATTAAAAATTGCTGTGTTGAAAACAAGCCAATTTGTACAACAGAGTATTAGGGCCACACAACAAGAGTTTTTTTTTAATTATTTTTACAAGAATAAAGTAATTTTATGAGAATAAAACCCTAATACTAAGAGAAAAAAGTTGTACGAGAAAAATCTCTAAATATATATGACAATACTGTATATATTATATAGCGTATGTATTTGTACCCCGTCGCCAAGGTGAGGGACACAGAAATGCCATGTCTGTCTGTCCATGATGGGGGACATCATCGACAGTTGGCGTTGAGTTCTAATGATTGATCAAGTTGAAAACTATTTTCACCAACATGACATGTTCAACACAATTTATATATTTGCTAGATTGATAAAAACTTTTTTGCTGTCAAAATATGAACAAAATGTAGATTGAGTATTAATTTGTAGAATTATTTTGCTTGATGATCTTAAGAATGGTGGAACAATTTATTCATTAAGTAGAATATTGGGAGTTTTTTTTATTTTATTTATGTTTTGTTATGAGATATGAACAAAACATTGGATAAGATTTGTATTTGTGTTGTGAGGCTGTTTGTTGATTATTTGTAATTATATTGAGTGTTTAGTTGAGTTTTATTATTCGTATGTTGTACGTTTTTTAGATACATATATTTTTTAATTGGGGGCAGATGTTATTAGATTTTATTCTTCTTTCTGCTCCTTTTCAGTTGACTACGTTGTGATTGTGTTTTTGACTCAACAATGTATTGTTTGTTTCTATTATTATTTGTTTGTTCTTTTATCATTTGTTTGTTTTATTACTATTTGTTTGATTGTTGAATGAAATGAAGTTTCGTAAATGTTACAAACATAAACCAAACTTCTGCAGTCTCAACAGCAGTATCACCTTTCACTTTAGCAAATGGTACTCACTAACAACTGCAGTTGGGTCATACTGTAGGTTGGCTTGGTTTAAAGGTTAGTGACAACAAACTTAAGCCTGAGTGAGCAGATTGTCTACATTTGGAAGAGTTTTTGTGGGTTAAACTAACCTTGAGTAAGTACAGTTTTTAAAAAGTTACATTACTTTTTATCATGTTGTTGCATGATAACAGACTTGATAGCAGGTTTAGGTGCAATGCAAAAAAATGCATACTGAGGCTGTGGCTGCTATTATGAAACCACAGTCATTTCAGTGGTCTAACATTTGCTTGTAGGTTAGACGAAGGTGAGATTTTTGTGCAGTCAGGCGTCGTAGGAAACCAACGACTGGGTGGAGAGGAGAAATTCGTCTTTTTCAGCCTTCACACCACGACTAGCCTTTTTTATCCAGAGTGTGAAATACTCTTAGCAGCTAAAAACGATTTCTCAGCTGTCTGAAAAAAAATATATATACAGATTCATATGAGGTTTGCAAAACTCTGAACTAAAGCAGAAACCTCCATTACAGCTTTACTTAGACACGTTTGTTCCTCAAAGCTGTAAAATCCTTTTAAACTCATGGTGAGATGTTGCAATTTAGACTAGACTTTAATGCAGAAAACTAAACCTCCCTGAGGTGATGAGGTGACTCAGCATGTTTAGTGTGAAAAACAAATGCTCGACTCATTTGCTTTTATGCTTTTTGATGTTTATTTTACTAAATTTTATGCAACAGTAATGATTCAACAACATTTATTTGTTGCTGAAGGGTTCAAATTTTATGATGATGATAAGTTATAATGCAGGATGCAAGTGTCTACATGTCAGTTTCAGAAACAGTTTTCAGCTTGTGTGAAATTGTGTTTTAAAGCTGCTATGTGTGAACAATTTTTTCCCCAGAAAAAGATAATCTAATTGATTGACCATTCAATTTCTAAACAAGCCCATCTCTATCTACAGGCAGGGGTGGAGCCAGGGGATGGTCATGGCCACCTTTCAAAAATCCACTATAAAAATAAAAGCCAACCCAACGGCAACATTTTGTCAAAGCCTTTTTTATACATAGATTAGTCATTTCATCTGTGCTGAACAGATGAGAAATTATCCTGATGTAATTCTACATGGTAGTCACTGCTCATGTCAGTGGAGAATGTCCAAGAAACACTTTTAGATCCAGAGAAAATTGCAGTGTAGGAAAAAAAAAGTAATTTCTGGGYCACCCCTGTRTGACCARTAGTCYCAGTCTGACCACCCCTATAAAAATTGTCTGGCTCAGCCATAGGACTGTCTGTTATAGGATGGACTTTCTAGACTTGTTTTAACCCTTGGGGTACCAATTTTTCCCACGCCCATCCCCTTCTTAGAGTGTCATGCATTCAGACAAAAACAAAAAGATTTGGTCTTTAGCAGGTTCTAAAATTATTCTAATTTAACCTCAAGTTTACAAAAACACACAACAGACCTCACCATAAAACGAAGTCAATTTGGGTCATCTTTAAAGTTTGTTGGTCAAACTAGCTGAGACTTCGACCCAAGGGCAGCAGGAGGGTTAATTTATTAAGTGATGACTGCGGTGATGGTTTCCCTTATGCTGCTGAAACATGATTAATTTTGTGTCAAACTTGGTGACTTTAAAATAAATCATTAGGTTCACGTGTTTAATCTGTTCTCGTTAGTTTTCTGTTGAATAAATTCTGGATTTGAGGTTTTATTCTTTTCGTCCAACAGCAGAGCAATGGCCAGTCAGGTGGATGGAACCGAGCCAGTGGCTGCAAGCTTGGCTGGACAAAACAGACGTTACCGTTTGCGTGACATCATCATTCGGAGAMAAGATGAGTTAGATGCCCTCATATCAGAAAACAGTACGAAAAAATATAATAAAAACAAACACAACATATAAGCTGTTTAATGWGACAAAATCAGAGCAATTCCTTTAAAACGAAAATGCCTCTGCATTTCAGAGAAACAATCTTTCCTTGTGGTTCATCGTCTCAAAACTGCGGGTAAAAATTGCTTAATGCGTGGTACTCCCATTACATGCAGAATGGACAGTGTTGAGCAAAACMCAGAAAGTGGATCGGTAGGTAATTTATTTATTGTATTTGATTTGGGGACTGGTGGCGCAAAAGAGAAGTCATTATAAACAATAATAAACCTCCAGGTGGATGAAGACACCTTGTACACATTTCATGTAACACACGGTGAGTTCCAGTGGATGGTGAAGAAGAAGTACAAAGACTTTCTGGAGCTTCAGCGAGACCTTCACCTTCGCAGGATGCTCTTCCACTTCATGCCTTTTCAAAGGTTGGTTGGTGTATGTGTTTATCTCGGTCATGCAAATCAGCTCCWCGTTCCAAGGGGATATGCATAAAATAAAACCTGAGCTTCTTTGAGCTTTTTAATGTCAGATCTCTTGAGCACTGAATATTTTTGAATATTCAACATTTTTTCCCCAAAGGTTTCAAATGAATGGGGAGGAACGGAGGAGCATGTTGAGGATAGAGCCCGCAAGATCTCAGGATCCTGTAAGGAGTTTGTGACATAAAACACAATTATTGTTCTTGAAGTAGGGCTTTTCTGTTTTCTGTGTTTATTCTTCTTTCATGTATTAAATGTATAAGAACTCCTATTTTGTTTTATGTCCATCGTCCTTAACTAAATTCTTCATTAACATAAAAATTTGCAATCAATTTTTTTTAAATAAAATTATTTTTTTATTTTTTTGCCATTTCTTGGGAACTATACCAGTGCAAGTAACTTTGTATAGTTCTGCTAATTAAAAACTAAAASCAGAACTATTTTCTTAATCAGTTTAGCTTTTGCACTAACTTTCCACTAACAGCTAACCAACAGCTGTGCTCTCATTCTGTAACCATTGTTTCTTATCCTACTTTTTACATACAGAAGCACCTTGAGGACTACTTGAATAATGTGTTGGRGAAAGCATTCTGTAGAAATGCCACCAGCATGGTAAAAGAATGATATACCTCTAGTAATAAGTTAGTATAGTTATGTGGCATGATGCACTTTCTGTCTTTTTTCAGATGGAATTCATTGATGTCAGTCCTCTTTCTTTTGTCACTGATCTGGGACCCAAAGGCTTGTCAGTAACATACTTATGAACAAAAGAAAAGCACTTGAACACAACTAAAGATTAGAACTCATTCTGCTGTTTGGATTTGCCTCAGGGAGGGACTTGTCATCAAGAGGTCTGGTGGTCACCAGACCCATGTTCTGCAATGCATTGGCAATAACAAGTGCTGTTTCCACTGGTCAAAACGCTGGATGGTGGTGAAAGACTCCTTCCTTCTGTTCATCGACCGAGATGAGGCTGCAATCAATGGTGTGATGCTTTTTGACCCAGAGTTCAAAGCAAAATGTTCAACAAATGTCGAATTTGGAATCTCTATTAAGAACAGAGCACGGTGGGTCCACYATGGTTGTTTGTTTTAAAGAGATTCCACAGCTAGACCAGAGCTGGTTTAAAAAGAATCTGCTAAGAACTTCAGTTTGTGATACATCCCTGTTTGTTTTTAAACAGAGAAGTGGTAATTGAGTGCGGCAGCAAGAAACAAGCAGAATGGTGGAGCCAAGAAATCAACCGACTAGCAGAATCATGTGAATTTCTCAAAGTTCAGCGCTTCAAAGGATTTGCTCCTCCTCGGGAGAACACGCTCACTAAATGGTCATTTGATWATCTGCTGTTGTTTCCAACAACTGCCACAACAACCAGTGTAAACCTTCAAGTAACTATTTTGTGGTTTATTGATTTTCATTCAAGGTATGTGAATGGAAGTGGCTACTTTGCAGACCTAGCTGATGCTCTTAAGAAAGCAAAGGAGGAGATTTTTATCACTGATTGGTGGTGAGAACCAGAAGACTTCTGATTTGCTAATTTACCAGCACATCAATGTCTGTGTCTGCTCATTACAAATCGTATTTCATACGTAAATTAACGTCAAACTCTGTTTATGTTCATTTTTCTGTAAGGCTCAGTCCTAAATTGTTCCTAAAGAGGCCGGCCAATGATAAGGAATGGAGGCTTGATAAGATACTTGAAGAGAAAGCAGTATGGGTTCCTTCTGTTCAGAAAACAATTTTCATGGTTTTCAGATTGTGTTTTTTATTCCATTATTGCTTTTTTTAAACCTTTTGTCTGCAGAAGGATGGAGTCAAAGTATATATCCTGCTGTACAGAGAGGTGACATATGCACTTAGCATTAACAGTGACTACAGCAAGAGAGCTTTACGGAACAAGCATGGAAACATCAAGGTGTGCCATCTCTTTGTAAACCGAATGTGAATAGAGGCGCTGATTGCTCTGTTTTTTACACTTAAGTAACCATTTCACTCTTCTGATTGATCAGGTGATACGACATCCTGACCGTGTGTCGTCTGGAGTGGTCTTATGGGCTCACCATGAAAAGATGGTGGCCATTGACCAAACCGTAGCCTTTGTAGGGGGAATCGATCTGGCGTTTGGAAGATGGGATGACAATCAATACCGGCTGACTGACCTGGGTTTTGAAGAGGGATCGAACARTGAAGCCAAGGAACAGCACAACAAAAGTTGTCTCTGTTGTCAAATGGCTACCTCTGAAGACCTGGAATATGAGATGGCCAAACAAGGTTCAAGAAATCTGGCTAGCAACACTAAGCTGTGGCTTGGCAAAGATTACAACAACTTCATCCTTAAAGACTGGAAAAAACCAGAAAAGCCGTTTGAGGGTACATAATCTCAGTATTACCAAAAAATCCTGAGAGTTTAAACGCCAGGATGAGCAGATTTTTATTGTTTTTCCTTTCAAGAAAATGTTGACCGATCTAAAGTTCCTCGCATACCGTGGCGTGACCTGTCAGCAGCCGTTCATGGCAAAGCGGCCAGGGATGTGGCTCGACACTTCATCCAACGCTGGAACTTCAGCAAGGTGACTTTCCATTATAAGAAAGGCGTTTGAATCTTTGTCTAAATATGCTCTCCAATGAAGTCCCGCAAATTCACATTTCACAATTTGTGTCCTTGGTCATTTGCAGATTTTACCATAGAACCTAACTACTACAGTAAATACTCTACAGTGAGAAATATACTTTATATATTAGTGAGATTTCAAACTAAATTATTAGGATCAATATAATTGACCCAGTTCTGTTTTGCTGTTTGGTTCTTACTGCATTAAAATGCCACCCAAATGCACTGTACGATTTTGGACCCCATCCAGTWTTTGCATTTGTTCATGATTCGCGGGCAGTCTAAGAACTTAAGCCCCGCGAAAATCAGGGCGTCGCTTTAGAGTTTCTGTTGTTCATGAAAATAGACCATTAGCGATACTATGGGAACACCTTTTGAAAAAATTAGATTACAGTTTTAGAATCTACAGCACATCTTTAATAAAAGCATCCAAATCAGCAAAAAMCGGTGACTAAWCATTAGCATATTCTGAGAGTTGATTAACATGAAYGTGTAAGCTTTTGTGTTACACTAACACAACAAAACACTCTGCACTCATTAATTGCTTTTGTCTTTAGATGTCAAAAAGGAAGTACAGGGTTGAGTCCTACCCTTACCTTGTTCCCAAGTCTCACTCCACTGCAGACTCACTGCCATTCACTGTGCCTRACTCCAACAAAGCCCAAGTTCAGGTACTTCATCACAGACACACACAGATCGTGGCTTTCTATCTTTGTGGGACTCTGCATTGACTTCCATTCATTTTTTTTTTATTAATTTCTAACACTGACCCTTATCCTAAACCTAACCTCCCCTATTGCATACCTAATCCTTGAGCTAACATAGCCCCACATTTGAACTTATGGGCCTGGGCTTTGAGTCCCATAAGGAGCAGTGGGTCTGAATAAGGTAGTTATTTATTTATTTATTTATTTATTTATTTATTTATTTATTTATTTAGAAAAATGGGCCTTACAAAGTAGCAAATGCTAGAACATACACACACAAATTTCAAATAAAGTCCATATATGTGCAGCATGCTAAATGTACAATGACTGTGAAGATTTAATGTGTTCAGGTGTTGCGCTCTGCTGGTTGGTGGTCAACTACAAATTTGGAAACCTCAATCCATGAGGCCTACATAGATATTATTAAGAAGAGCGAGCACTACATCTACATTGAGGTAATATAGCAGAGCTTTCTGTCATAACATCATCATTAAATAGCAGCTGTGGCAAAAAGAATAAAAATTAATAACCCCTAATA